CAGCCCTTCAATCACCTTTCACAATTTGTTTGCCAAAACCTTTGCCAAAACTTTGTACTAACACCCAACCAATAAAACGGGAAGAAAATCTGCGACCTGCTGAGGACTATCAACTTTAGGTATCATAGTAATAAATGTACTATTAATACCTTTTGTTAACTTTCCATTGCGGTGAAACTCCACCATAAATCTCAACAAATCATCTTTTAAAATGTCCCAGAATTCTTTTATAAAACCAAAACTCACACCATCTGGACCTAGACTCTTAAAACTATCACAATCTCACACTATTTGTTTCACTTATTCCAACGAAAAAGGCTTAATAAGGTCAATCCCTTCCACCCCACTAAGAGTTTTAAACGCTAAATTATCAATCTCAGGACGACCGACCTCAACTGCGTTGAAATGTTGGAAAATGACTTATCTAATCGGAGGAACACCTTCAACAAGAACTCCATTCACAGATAAGGAATTGATCGCATTAGACCTTTGTCTAAAAGACATAAACCCATGATTTTTTTTTTAATTTACATCACCCTCCTTCAACGAATTCAATCTAAACTTTTACCACTGCATACTAAAATTCAACTTAAATAAAAAAATAGATCAGCTGAGAGCTCATGTAATTCCGCTACCTCACCTTCCTTTAAATTAAGGTGTTCCAGTTTCATATAAGGGAGAGAGCAATTATTTTTTAAATTCTATATAGTTTTTTTAAAGTTCAATTATAGATTTTTTTTATAAAAATGTAATGATTCTCTTCAAATTTACCTGGTAAAGAGAATTAGAATTTTTTTTTTCATTTCTTTTGCCTCTCTCCTTTTTGATGCATTTCTTTCCATGATTTAGTTTTTTCCTTTTCATTCAAATCAATTTCCTCCCTCTTTGAGATAATAATATAATTTTCTCTTTCACTTTTCCATTCTAATTTCTCATTTTATTCAAATTAAAAAAAATAAAATGATTTTATTATATATCAATATATTTATATTTTTATACTGTCAATTAATAAAAAATATGTATAACAAAAAAATTTATTTTATTTTTAAAATACTTAAATGATATGATAAATGTGGGAGTTTTGACTAATTATAGTGTAAAATTATTTAATATAATATATAAATAATTATAATTATAAAACACGGTTAATTAAATATAGATGTATAAGTTATACAAATCTTAAGTTACAAAATTTCCAAAAGTAAGTTTGAGGTTGAAAGCTTAAGCAATTAACAACACACATGTTTATCCATTTTTTTCAGCTAAAAAAATCAACTTTTTTATAAAATAAAAGCAATATAATTTTATATAATTATTGTTTTTTTTCCGCACTTTAGTTCTCAAAAAACAAATAAAGCCTTAATAATCTAGAGTGTCAAGAGGTATGGATACTTTCATTGCGGTGAAAATCCGTGCGTTGAGGACTATCAACTTTAGGTATCATAGTAATAAACGTACTATTAATACTTTTTGTTAACTTTCATTGCGGTGAAACTCCACCATAAATCTCAACAAATCATCTTTTAAAATGTCCCAGAATTCTTTTATAAAACCAAAACTCACACCATATGGACCTAGACTCTTAAAACTATCACAATCTCACACTACTTGTTTCACTTATTTCAACGAAAAAGGCTTAATAAGGTCAATCCCTTCCACCCCACTAAGAGTTTTAAACGCTAAATTATCAATTTCAGGATGACCGACTTGAAATGTTGGAAAACGACTTATCTAATCGGAGCAACACTTTCAACAAGAACTCCATTCACAGATAAGGAATTGATCGCATTAGACCTTCGTCTAGAAGACATAAACCCATGATTTTTTTTTTTTTTTGAATTTGCATCACCCTCCTTCAACGAATTCAATCTAGACTTCTACCACTGCATACTAAACTTAGATTAAAAAAAATAGATAAGCTGAGAGCTCATGTAATTCCGCTACCTCATCTTCCTCTAAATTAAAGTGTTCCGCTTTCATACAAGGGAGACAACAATTATCTTTTAAAGTTCAATTATATAAAAAATTATAAAAATGTAATGATTCCTTCAAATTTACCTGGTAAAGAGAATTAGAACTTTTTTTTTCATTTCTTTTACCTCCCTCCTTTTTGATGCATTTCTTTCCATGATTCAGTTTTTTTCTTTTCTTTCAAATCAATTTCCTCCCTCTTTGAGATGATAATATAATTTTCTCTTTCACTTCTCCATTCTAATTTCTCATTTTATTCAAATTAAAAAAAAATGATTTTATTATATATCAACATATTACTATTTTTTTAAATGAATTTTAAAATTCAAAATTACACTTATATATATATATATATATATATATATATATATATATATATATATATATATATATATATATATATATATATATATATATATATATATATATATATATATATATATATATATATATATATATATATATATATATATATATATATATATATATATATATATATATATATATATATATATATATATATATATATATATATATATATATATATATATATATATATATATATAAAACAAAATATTTTTATACTATCAACTAATAAAAAATATGTATAATAAAAAAATTTATTTTATTTTTAAAATACTTAAATGACATGATAAATATGAAAGTTTTGATTGATTATAGTGTAAAATTATTTAATATAATATATAAATAATTATAATTATAAAACAAGGTTAATTAAATATAGATGTATAAGACCACTTATAAGGAAGATATTGAAAAAATTATTTAATAGTTGAATGGTTGCAATGAAGTGTTGAATGAGGTGTTGAAAATAATGTAGATTAATTGATGTTGAAAATATTCAACATGTTGAATAAGGAGAAAGTGATACCACATATAATACTTTACAAAATTTTATTAGTTGTTGTGATTGTTTAAATTTTTATCTCTTCTTAATTATTTGGAATCAATTATTTTATAATAAATCAATTTTTTATTTATTTTTATTTTCACCAAAACTCATCATTTTCTCTCTCTATAAATAGAGTCTTGGTTCATTAGATTTGAACACAAAAAAATTGAGATTTTTCTCTCTAATTTTTCTATTTAGCCTTCAACTCTTGTTTGTAACTCTAACCATCTTTTTAGTGAAATAGATCCCAACAATAATCCTTTTAACACTCAAAATTTTACTAAAATATAAAGTTAGAAAAATAAAATTCAAATAATTTATTAAATTAAGAAAATATATAAAAAAATTAGTTAGCTCTTAATTATTTTAATTTAATAATCGTTATTAATATATAATCACAAAAACAAAAACATAAAAAAAAAATAAGAATATAAAATAAAAGTGATGGGGATAGAGTCTTAAATTTTATTAAACAAATTTATTATAGTGAATAAAAATTGAATGTGTATTAAATTATCAGATGAGAGAGAAAGAAGATGATGTGGAAGAAAAAAAATAAAAAAAAAGTGTTGAATCCATGAACCATTGTGCATCGTCTAAGATATACAAATCTTAAGTTATAAAATTTCTAAAAGTAAGTTTGAGGTTGAAAGCTTAAGCAATTAACAACACACATGTTTATCCATTTTTTTCAGCTAAAAAAATCAACTTTTTTTATAAAATAAAAGCAATATAATTTTATATGATTATTGTTTTTTTTCCTGCACTTTAGTTCTCAAATCAAGAGGTATGGATACTTGCCAAACATTTTTAATTGTTGTTTTTTAAAAAATTAAAATTTTAAATATTGGTTAAATATCAATATTTTATAGAAAAATTATTTTATTATAAATATTCATCTAAATTAGATAAATTAGAGGGATAGAAGTGTTATTTTTTTAAAAATTGTTTGATATTATGTAAACTATACAAAATTTTAGGATGTGTTTGTTTTAAGACTGTGAAAAATATTTTAAGAAATATGATTATGGGAATTTAACATTACCATATTTGATTCAAATTTAAAAAAATTATTTTAAAATATATTTTATTCTCAATAATCTTATTTACACATAATTTTTTTATTTTTATTTTCATTGTTAAAAGATGTGAATCCAACGGTCCTATAAAAATAAATCTAACTATCATTAATTTCTCACTTCTACTTACAAATTAATACTATTTTTATTTTTTATAACTTTTAAATTAAATAAACTTATAAACATTCTTAGGAAAATTTATTTTTACTCAAACATATAAATTAAAATAGTATTTAAAAGAATATAAATTTAAAGAACATAATTCCAAAAAAAATATAATTTAATAACTTAAAACAAACACACCTTTAAAATACAAAATTTTCCAAAACCAAATTTTTCGTGGAAAACGGAAACAGCTAAAATTCATTTTTTTTCGGCTAAAAAAACTCCACTTTTTTCTAAAAATAAATACAACGCAAATTTTGTATATTTTAATTGTGTTGAAAAAAAAAAAAAGAATTCATGTTAAAACTTAAAAGTGAAATTAAAGAAAGAAAAAGTAAAACCAAAATTTTCCGAATCCCTTTTTTTTCTTTCTGTTTATATACAAATAGTTGGCGGCGTCACATCACATGGTGTTTTTATCTTGCACTGATTCATTCATCTCTCTCTCTCTCTCTCTCTCTCTCTCTCTTATAAGCTTATACAGATTCATATTTTGAAGGTACAAGTTGTTGTGCTTCGGCTGGTTAGGATTCAAACAAACACTAGTTGTTGTAATTCTAAAGCTTAGTTTTGATTCAGCACAAATATTCAATTATCTTTGTAAAGTCTTCAATTAATTCATCAATACCATTTTATTTTCTGTTTTGCATCATTCATTCAAACACTTGATTATATAATTAAATTGTTATCAACTTTATGGTTTCTTTTTAACTCAGTGTCTCTGTATTAGTGTCGGTGTTAAAAACTTATATAATCATTGTCATTACGTTTAATTTATTCATTTTTTTTAAAAATTATTTCTGGTGGTGGTGTTTTTTGTGTCCGTGCTTCATAGATTTTGAGACTTTTTTTAATTTTGTAGGTTTTCAGAGATGGTTGCCTTTGGGAAGAAGTTGAAAGATAGACAAATTCAAGAATGGCAAGGGTATGTATTTATTATCTATGCTCTTTCTTGTCTTGTTAAGTTTTTTTTTTTTTTTTTTTTTTTTGAGATGAATGTTAGTATTCAAATAATGATTGATACATTGGATTCATCGGGCTTTTGTAAGTGAGTGATCGAGTCTGGAACTGAGACTGACACTTGTGATTATGATTGATTTTTATTTTTATTTTTTTAATTGTGTTTCTGGTGTCTGTGCTTCATAATTCATCTGTTTTTATTTTTATTTTTTTAATTAAAGATATTACATAAACTACAAACTCATGAAGAAGCGAGTAAGGCAATATGCTCAACAAATTCAACTTGGAACGCTAGATCGGCGACACGTTCTCAAGGATTTCTCACGAATGTTGGATAATCAGGTTTTCGCTGTTTCCTTTCTTGAATGGTTTATGATGAAATACTTGCGATGAGAATAATTGATTTTGAATAACTTGGTTTTGTATAATTAATTCTAGCTTAAATTGAGTTGAAGATAAAGTGATTTATGTTTGGATAAATTTATGTAGAATTGAGTTGAACAATAAATTTTAATGTAAAAATACGTTTAAACTCAAAAGCTACAAATTCTAGCTTAAGTAGAATCAGTTATGGAGGCTGAATCAATTTTACTTTAGAAGAACCAAACACCTCAAAATCATTCAAAAATCAATTCTACACGTTTAGAATTACTTTTGGCGCTTCCAAAAGATAAACCAAACATACACTAGATGAGATTGTTAAACTCAAATTGGATTTTGATTATTTGAGTATATGTGGTAATCTGAGTAAAATGAATCATGAATGCCGTTTTACATTGGTTTTGCGAATTGCATGTTTTTATATTTGTTTGAATCAACATTTCTTTTGTTAAAATTCAGATTGAAACGATTGTGCTTTTCCTATTGGAGCAACAAGGGCTTTTGGCAAGCAGGATAGCAAAGCTTGGAGAGGTGCATAATGATTTGCAGCAGGAGCCTGAAATTAACAAAATAACGGAACTGCGAGAAGCTTATAGAGCAGTTGGACAAGATCTATTAAACCTGCTCTATTTTGTAGAGATCAACGCAATTGGCTTGCGTAAGATATTGAAGAAGTTTGATAAACGCTTTGGTGGTAGATTCACTGATTACTATGTCAAAACTCGTGCAAATCATCCTTACTCCCAGCTGCAACAAGTGTTCAAGCATGTGGTAATATGTTCACCTCAAAATTGACCTTCAGAAACCGAGTAATATCAAATATTGTTTTAATGAATAAGCATTGAAATTCACCAAAAAGTTAAAAAAAAAATGAAGATTGACTGAATAATATGGAATTTGTAGGGAATAGGTGCTGTTGTGGGAGCCTTATCTCGCAATCTTCATGAGCTCCAGGATCGTCAGGGGAGCTACTTATCAATTTATGATCAGCCTTCTGTTCCTCTTCAGGTTTCTTTCTTCATTTACCTTTCTCCTTAAAACACTAACGATATTTTATATATTTTTTCTACATAGTGTGTGTGTGTTTGGTTCTAGGTTACAAAAATTGATTTTTAGTGAATTGATTATTGTTAAAAGTGAGTTGAATCTAAAACAATATATGTTTAGATACATTCTTGTAAAAGTGGGTTGAACATTAAAAGTTAGGCTTAATATCAATTGTAGAAGCACAAGTTCAAATTCTAGCTTCAAGGTAGAATCAAATCTAGATACAAAATCAATTCTATTCGAGAAGATCCAAACATGTCAAAATCAATTCTGCACATTTTCTTATCAATTTTGGCTCCTCGAAATATAGAACCAAATATACACTTAATCTTTTAAAGCATGCTTTGTTAACTGGTTAGGGAGCAGCACAATATTCGTGTTGATTATGCATCATTTTACTTGGTTTTACATGCAGGATCCCGTGGTTGATTCGATAAACGCAGCTGTTGATAGGCTATCCTGCTCAACAAACTTTCTTAACTTTTTGGCACAACATGCACTCATTTTGCAAGATGACCTTCCTGCCCCTTCTGAGGAACACGTTGATGATGAAAGATATCATTTTATGTCACTTATGCTGAACTTGGCAAACACATTTTTATATATGGTCAATACATATATCATTGTTCCTACAGCAGATGATTACTCTACAAGCCTTGGTGCTGCGCCAACGGTTTGTGGTATTGTTATTGGGGCAATGGCTGTTGCACAGTTGTTTTCTTCTGTGTATTTTAGTGCATGGTCAAACAAATCATACTTTAGGCCTCTTGTGTTCAGCAGCATAGCTCTTTTCCTCGGAAATGTCTTTTATGCTTGTGCTTATGATGTTCATTCAATATGGATTCTCTTAATCGGTCGCCTGTTTTGTGGGTAAGCAATAACGTGCCTTTTGACTTAACTTCATATAAATATGATTTAATCTTTCTCAGTTTAATAATTTGAGAAAATGAAAGTGACCAAAAGTAACATATGTTAGTGCCTTGTTGGCGTCGGACATTGACACATGTCGAACACCAGACATGCCTTCAATCTAAAATGTCGGTGCTACATAGATCTTAATGCACCATTATTTTCATAGTACATTGGAGTTATGTTCTTTGCTTGATTTGAGTTGTAAATGCCTGGCTGTTTTAAGACCTTTTTTTTTGCCGAAATTTGCAGATTGGGTTCTGCCAGAGCAGTTAACCGGCGTTATATCAGTGACTGTGTTCCGCTCAGAATCCGCATGAAAGCATCAGCTGGTTTTGTTAGTGCCAGCGCTCTTGGAATGGCATGTGGTCCTGCATTAGCTGGCATACTTCAGACTAATTTTAAGGTTTACAACCTTACATTTAACCAAAATACCTTGCCCGGGTGGGTTATGGCTGTTGCTTGGCTAGTATATCTGGTATGGTTATGGATCTTTTTTAAAGAACCTTCTCATGATGTTGAAGAGAATCAAGCACCACCAAATCAGTCAAATGATGGTACTCAACTTATATTGCATTGCATCTACATGTTCATTATTGTTTAACATTTTTATTGTTCTTGTAAGATTATTGATCTACATCAGTCCTCTGATTCCATTGCTGTTTTCCTTTATAAAAATTGAGTTATTTTTACATTGTTACTCATTTATGCATGCCTTTTCCTAAACCATACTGTGGTGAGAGCATCACTATGTTTCCCTATTTTGTGTTTTATCATTCTGTTGAACATCTAAATAGAAAATAACATTTTTTTTCTCTCCCTGTGCAGTAGAAAATGGTGCACTTGAAAAAGGCCTAAAACAACCATTACTAATTACTTCGGATGATAAGGTAGAAGAAGACATTGACCAAGATTATGATGATAGTGAGGAAGCTCCAGAGGAATCTCGCCTACCAGCCAATTCAATTGGATCGGCATACCGACTACTTACACCTTCTGTAAAGGTTTGTGAACTAAAAGTTACTTTCATGTTATTGGACTTTTATAAAGCAATAATGTTTTCTTTAGATACACAATTTTCTAATCATTTTTGATGTTGAGTTTACTGGTGTTTAAGTGACACATGTATGGTCTTCTATGAATGTCGAAGATATGTTAGTTTTATAAAATTATAAATGAGAAGAATTCCTTAAATCGATAATTGGCATCTCCAGTTTTTACATGAGATCAAATATGAGCGAATAACACGGAAGATGCACGGGATGAAATATATATAGTTAATTACTTTTTACTTTTTATATACATTATTACCATTTGCTATATAACATTTCTTGTATTGCTGTTTATTATATAAAATTCACCATGTTCCTATCGAAGGTGATTGGATGAAATGGAAAGTTAAATGCTTTATCTGACCACATTTTGTACCATCTGCAGGTTCAGTTATTGATATATTTCATGCTTAAATATGTAATGGAGATTTTACTATCTGAATCTAGTGTCGTCACAACATACTATTTCAACTGGACAACAAGCACAGTTGCAGTTTTTCTTGCTTGCCTTGGCTTGACAGTTCTTCCTGTAAACCTTGTTGTTGGAAGCTACATTAGCAACATGTTTGAGGATAGGTAATCTATACTTATATATAAAGTGAATACTAGTTTTGATGTAGTTTTTTTTCCCTTCTATTTTAGCCCTCAATAAGGTTGAAAATTGTATTATTTTTCATATTGTCTGAGGGGTCATTTTTTCTCTGTTTTAGGCAACTTCTGTTGACATCAGAAATTATGGTTTTCATAGGAGTTTTACTCAGCTTCCATGTAATCTTTCCATATTCTGTGCCACAATACATTTGTTCGGGTCTCCTTGTATTTGTTTCTGCCGAAGTACTGGAAGGTAATCTCTTTACATTTTTTGATTTTGCACTAGATTGTATTGTAAGGGTCCAAGGAGAACATAAAATTTATGAGTAAGCTGGTTTAATCGTTATTGTCATCTTGATTCCAGGTGTCAACTTGTCACTACTTTCACGTGTCATGTCATCAAGGCTTTCACGTGGAACCTACAATGGCGGACTTCTATCTACGGAGGCCGGAACAATTGCAAGAGTGATTGCTGATGCTACCATTACCTTGGCTGGATTTTTGGGTCAGAGTAGGCTCCTTAATATCACCTTGCTACCTTCACTCTTCATTTCAGTAGTCTCTATCATAGCAACCTGCTACACCTACAATTCTTTATACTGATTGCTATCTTGAGGCTGGGATGGAAAGAGAACAATGCTCTTTTTCAACCAATTCTTTATACCGAATACTCTTAGTTTGTTCCAATTGTGACTTCAAATTTTGTGATGATTTATTACTTTGTTGTCTGAATCCTTTTTAGTTATAGTTAGATTTAGGAATGTAAACGAATTGATGCTAGCTATTCATGAATTAATAATATATCTGTTTTGCTTAGTGCTCGTTAAACAGGAACATTGTTTCGTGTCAAAGTAAAAAGTTTCCGAATATAAATGTTATGCACATGCTTCTGACTTCAGAAAAGTTGCTTCGGGACAAACATTCAACTTAAACTAATAAAACTGACCATTACTTTTTATTCTAATGTTTTTGTTTCAAGTTTTACTAAATTATATCTAGGAATTTTTTATTTTTAGAAATTCATTTTACACATAATTTTGTCATTTTTTATTTTTGTTATAGGGTGGAAATCTTACATTTCTATAGGAATAAAAAATAACTACCTATAACTTCTTAATCTTATATACTTTAATTCATTTATTTTATATTTTATATTTTAAATTAAGTATATTTTATAAATATTTTAAGTAAATTAATTGTTTTACCAAACATATAGATGAAAATAAAATTTTTCAAGAATAATATTCCACGAAATAGTATGCATCATTTGCATCACACACAAACGAGCAAATTTGATGTCACCCTAAAGTCAAATTAAAAAATATTTCAAAGATATATCTCCGAGAGTATGATACAATAAATTGTGAAAGAATCGTTACAGGAAGAATTTTAGAGATGTAACTCCTATAAATTTGTGTGAAAACTTAAAATACTGTCACCTTTGCATGTTAGATTATTCCGGAGATGCATCTCCGGAAAAATGAAATGTGAAATTGCTAAAAATAGCAACATGCATGATCTGATTTCATTTGTCATATTTTTCTTAAACTTTCTCCAAAAACTCTTCCATTCTCAATCAAGTTTTTCACTCAAAATCTTCATTCTTGTGTTTCATTAAATCAAAAAGAATTAAAGGAAGTGAAATTTAAGGTAAAGTTCATCTAGGCACCAGAGATGCGAGGGTGGATTAACAGTAAGAAATATATATTGGACTCATCCTGATTCCATAGAATTGTTTCCCACTGTACTCATAATTGATTCAACGTATAAGACCAATAAGTACATGCTTTCATTATTGAAAGTTGTTGGTGTTACGTCTACTGAGAAAATATATTATGTTAGTTTTGCGTTTCTTGAGTGTGAAAAAAGGACAATTTTTCTCAGGCTTTAGAGGTGTGTCGGTCAATGTGGAAGGACCAAGAAGAAATATCAAAAGTCATTGTTACCAACCGCGATACCGCTTTAATGAATTCGGTTGCAACGATATTTCTGATTTCTTACACATTATTTTATAGGTATCACATTATTAAGAATGTGAGAAGTCCAGTAAAACCCACAGTAGGAACAAAACAGATAGAGGTCGAAGATGGAAAAATGGTCAATTCGGACGTTATTGTGGAGAAAATTATGGATGTATAGAATGTTATAATAAATGCATACACAAAAGACATATATGCTGATGCTGTTATACAATTCAGGAAGGTGTGTGTGAAATATCCCGCTTTATTGAAATATGTTGAGAGCACAATTTTGGACCTGGTAAAGGAGAAGTTCGTTAGTACATGGACCGATCAGGTTATGCGCCTTTCATTCTTTTAACCCCATATGTACTTCCTATATAATATACGAATTAAATCACATAAAAATCACCATACAGGGGTGTCACACTTCATTCAAAAACGTCACAATACAATTCTGCTTCGTAACACATGTTACATTAAATAGAAATAACATCTTATTATAGTTCAACACCTTACTTAAATTATCGCAGCGGATTCATTGTCATAAATAAACTTCTTTACAAATCAAAATTCACAGTACTTTAGCCTCGTCAACAGTTGGAATTAAAACTAGTTCAACATCTCCAAAAATCCTCATAAAATATGTTAACCAAAGAAAGATAAAATTCACAAAACAAACGTTCCCAATCCGATGTTACGTATCAAAGCAAGACACTACTAAAATAACGGAAATCATAAAATACTCTAAAGTTATCTTCAATGCTCCTACAAGTTACTCCTGAGCATCTGCGTGTTACCCACGTGGAGGCAACATTCAAACAGAAAGAGTGACTAATCACAATTCATTATAAAAAATATAAAGAAAAGAATAGTATTAACAGCATCATCATATAAACACACACCATTTATAAAAAGTCATACTCACACCTATAAGTCATAGTAGCGCTTATACATCTTTCGTCATAAAAACCATCTTATAATCACACGATTCACAATTATCATCATATCACATCTCATCCATAAAATTCAAGCAATTTCCACATAGAATGATAATGCAACAACACTGACTCAATGCACGTGGTACCAACTTTATAAACACCTAGTTCACCACCCTCAAAAGATCCCCACCATAGGATCAATTTCCTCTTGGAACCGGAGCACAACATAAATCGCTACTACCATCATAGTAACATTTCACTAAATCCCCAAACGAGGATCTAGCTACTCGCATCCAACCCACACAATGGGATTGAGGATCATCACAAGAAGACCAACGTCCAAAAATATCATGAATGCATGATGCAAAACAACGTCATATATAAGTTCGACCAAGGTTAGTCAACTTCATCATCATTCACATAATCATCTTCGCATAACATGTATACATATTAAACATGAACATCACTAAACATCATCACGGATAACATCAATTGCATCACCGTAACATCATAGAAACTTCATAACAATTTCATAGCAACATCAAGTTCATCATCAAAACAGAAAATCTTAGTGTGATACGGTGGCAGAACCGACTGTTATATACTGGTTTGCATTTTGTATTTGCAAATGTGCGGTAAGCAAGAGTCACCACTGTCTTTTCTTTTATTCAACAAAGGAAAGGGTGAAAAGAACATAAAAAGACCTTTTCGAGAATTTTCTGAGTAAGGGGGTGTTGTACCCCAAATTTTCCCTCTCATTTATCAAGATTTTCCTCACAAGACCTCTTTGACTCAAGGCAGGATTAAAGTTTGGTCAGCTCAAGACACCTCATCTTACACTGATACCCCAAAATTAGGGTTTGAGTTTGCACCAGGATTTTTGTACCATCAATGCTTCATGTGACTTTCATACACCATCTTGGACCCCTAAGATTGCTCATGTTAAGTTTCAAGCCTTGAATCACATTTTTGACCAGTCAATTGGACAGTTGACCTAAAAATCAGTTGTATTGGGGAAAAAGTCAACCATGACCAATTTACAGTCAAACTTCATAATTTTTGATCCACAACAACATTTTAGACTCATATAAACCATTTGATCATGTTTGGATCACAACTCCTCAAGAAATTTGATCAAATCATCAAAAGGGCAAAATGGTAAAAATTAGAGTTTTGACTGAGAAAGGGCAATTTCTGATTTTTAACCTAGCCAATCACCAATTGGGTTCAAGCATTATTTCAAGGACTCAATAGCATCATCTTGACCTAATCACATAGTTTAAAAGATCTCAAATGCATAGGATTGACAGATGAATTTTGCAGTCAACTGATCAAAAGTCAACTATGCACTAAAAAGTCAAACTTTGAATTTTTAGTCAAAATCAAGTGCCAAGGGTCATAATTCATCATGATATGTCAAAATATGAAACTTGTTGATCAAAAAACCAATTTTGAAAATTTTCATAACTTAGAAATTTTCTAAGTATGGAAATTTTCTTATTTTTTCCCAACTTTTCACAATTTTTTCACCATGATGCAATTTGATTCAAAGAAAACTTCCAACATGAAAGTTGTAGTCCTCCATGAAATATAAAAATTTTCTTCACAAAGTTTTCCAAAAAGATGCTTGGATCTCAAGTTATGAATTTGTGAATAAGGGTCCATGAACTAAAAGACTTAGTGAAAATTTGCCCTAATTTAGGCAGGTTTTTGACCCAACTTCATAGGCATTTTTCACCTAGTTACAAGAGGTATCTCAAAATGCATTTCAAAGATGGATTGTAGAGCATGTTTCAAGATTTCCAAAATGTCCAAGAACTCTCCAAGATCATTTGTGGTTAGGGAGAATCGAAGAAGAGAAATTGGCATTTTGTCACTTTTGTTCAAGCCATTTTCACAATGCATCAAGTTGCAAATCTGATCAAGCATGCTTGTACCTTGCATTACAGGTCCTAAACCCCTTCTACACTCCATAATTAAATTCTAACTCAGTGGATAATGGTTTTATTTTGGCTTTTGAAGCATTGTACAAGGAATAAATCCATAAATGGCATAAAGGGCACATTGCCATTTTCATAAAGCAAGCTTTTCCAACTTTATCAGCCTTAAGCCTTGGACTTGTTCTCATGGTGAAGAAAATTTCCACAGGAATTAAGCAAAGCATACCAACTATTATTAGCCCTTGAGATAGCTAGTACAAGCATGGTGCATAAGTCTTGTCACTTTTCTTCAAATACAAGAAAGTTGGCCAAAGAGGTCAGAACTTGTACAAGCTGATAAAGGGTGGACTTTGTATCACTCTATACAGGTTCACAAACTTATCACAAGCCAAGACACAAATGCTTATGATCTGAAACTCACTAAAACTCAAAAACTCAAAATTTCTGCCCAAACATTGCAGTTCTGCAAAACTCTTGCCATTTCATTTTTGGCTCGTGCGTTTCTTGTTTCAAGAATTCAAACACCTTACATATATCCTATCAAAGCTATTCAAGCATTCATCCCGCAACTGTGAGCTCTGTTTCATACATCACCATTTTCAAACTTGGAGGCTGCAGACTGACTTCTACAGGGAGTTTCAGCCATCCACAAAGCCAGCTAAGCATTGGAAAAGCTTGAGGGAACTTCAAGGAAGCTCACACGATCCCCAGGCCTCACTCAAAGTCCCCACATTGCCACATCCAAATCCAGCTGAAGGAGGTAT